CTATACTCATATGAGTCACTTTCTGAAAAACTGCTTTGCTTGAACTTGTGAAACTTTCCACTGGACCAAATAAGCCCAGGACCCACAGCACTGAATCCACGTTACTTCCAGACCACTTGACGCACTCAAACGCGTCAGTCGTGTGTGATTCCCCATCAGCTGCCACTGAATCCACAAGAAACCCTTTAGCTACTGTACTGTGCTGCAATAACGGACTCGTTTTAGTCACGTTTATCAGTTTCAAATGTACAGTCTGAACAACTGAGTCATGAATATTTAGGACACCGAAAAAACATCGAAATACTTACTGGATAAACACAAAGCTTGATGAGCTAGCTAAAGAAAAATGAGAGTAATCTTTGTTTCCAAAAAAAAAAAAATGTATTTGAATTAAATACTCTCAGATTTAATTATTATTATTTATCATTAATAATAACTTATTTTAAGCTAGGGAGAGCAATATTGTGTATTTTCCAAATCAAGTTCATTGCCAGCTGTAACTTTTCATGTAAAGTACAAAAAGAAAATAATTAAAAAGAATATTCATGTTAATTTAATATTTTAATATTCTTAAATTCAAATATATTAAACTATAAAAATATTTTCACACTTTAAATATTTTTTATCAAGCTTAGTATCAAGTAATCTTATCTGAGTTTTTATTTGAGAAAATATTTATTGTATGTGCCATTACTTATAAAATATAACTTGTACAATATAGCAGAGATATTTTCAATCTGTAATAAAATGTTACAAAAATGTGCTCAATTGTTTGTGACTTATTTGCAAGTTTACACTTTACACATATTAAATAACATTTTCTTCAAGTCTAAGAAGTATGAAATATATTCAAAATTCATTCATTCTTACAAGCCAAGCCTCTTTTGTCTTTTACAAAAAATATATTAAAATATTTTTCTAGTTAAAGTAGTGATTTTATTGTTAACCTGATTTTATTAAAAAGCTCATTTATTAATAGCATTTTTAATACAATTACATTTTAAGTTTCAGTTTATTTTAAGTTTGTTATTAATGCACAACAAATTTTACTATTTTCAACAAAATAAATTAAAAACAACACATGTATAAATATTTGATATGCTAGTAGACAAAATCTGGGAATTTTTATATACTGTATGAAGAAACTTTGTCGACCACTTTTGTTTATACAATGTTGTCACTGACATATTAATACTGCATTAAAATGATTTGTGTTAATGAAAACACTGATTTTGATCAGTGCAAAGCATCTTGAGTTGGACATAAGAATTATGTGTGACTAAAAAAACACATGAAAAGTCCGTTTGTCACGTTCTCATGAACAGAGTATCCGTTTCCCCCTTTTGATTTTTGCCTACAGTAGCACTTCGCACGTAATTTTTCTCTGGGTTTATTTGCGAAAGCCTCCATCCTGCTGTCTCACACCTCCAGGATGGCTCTTATCTGGAGGTACTTTGGCACATCTCTCTCTTTACGCAAACACGAGCGGTTTCATCCAGAGTGGGTAATGGACTGATACTAATGCATCTGAACGCAAACGTACGTGTGTGTGTGTGGGCTGCCGAGATGGGACGGCCCACCTGGACCGACTATATAAGACCCAGACGATTGAGAAGAGGCCACGAAACCAACAGGAGAAGAGCAAAGAGAAGATCCAAACACACTCAACTCTTCCATCAATTGGTAAGTTGAAGGAGCTCTTTGAGAGACTCAGTCTTGTAGATGTTCGGTTGGTTTCAAAAGTGTTTTTTTCTCTCATCTTTACAGAACGTGTGTCTTCAGAACTGAAAGAAGCTGTCAAAATGAAAGGCGTCCAATATCTCGCTGGTCTTCTTCTGCTCCTCTTTGTTCAACACAGCATCTGTGTCCCACTGCAAGATGACAGCACAAGGTTGGAGAAATAGCCTTTTATGGTGTTTTATGTCCTTTGTAGTCTGTTTCTGAGCAATAATTTATGATAAAAGCACTTGAAGTAATAAATTCCTAGTATGCAAGTGCTTAAACACGAAATCTTCACTTTATAGCTGTTTGAGGGCTTTTTGTTTGGAAATGTGGACATCGTTTTGTTCAGTTTATGTAATGTAACACTCATATATCATCTGGTTGTGCAGCACAGAGACAGTGGAAAGTCTTCTGGCGAGGGGTAAGGGATTCACGACCGCAAAGAGACATTCTGAGGGAACTTTCTCCAATGACTACAGCAAATACCTGGAGACCAGGAGAGCGCAAGACTTTGTTCAGTGGCTCATGAACTCAGAGAAAAACGGGTATGTACAATTACAGTATGAGATCATGTACAGATTTGTTAAAAAAAAAAAAAAAAGGTAAAAATTAACCAAGATTTGGTGTAAAAAAATTTTTTTTAAAATAATAATTTATAATTCAAATAAAAAAACACCCTTACTTTTTATAGAATGCATATAAAATGTATACGAATATACCATAAATATAAAATATATACTGTATATATTTTCTAAAATTAAAATATATATCCGAAAATATTTTTGTGTATGGAAACCTAAAATATGTTACAGAACATATTTTCACATTTATATAATTTATTTATTGATATAATATATACTGACATTATATATATATATATATATATATATAATCTTTGTTCTGATATCATGAATCTGACCAACTTCATTTTGAGGGATGATTCGTGTTTTATGTGTCTTTAAAATAATGACACTTGCTTTGGTATTCATGCATTTTAAGTCCAAATACAACTTTTTGGGCCACTGTATAAGTAACCATGTGTTTGTGCTGCAGTCTTACGGCGGCTACGTCACTTCGATGGTTCTGGGAGCTGGAAGTGGAGTTTTTAAATGCGGAATGGCCGTCGCTCCGGTGTCAAAATGGGACTATTATGGTATGTTTTATGTATTATGGTCAATGCAGATTACTTGCAAATTGTGGTCTGTTACTGATTACACATTACATGATGAAAATTGTAGTTAAGTAACATAATCTGGATTGCACATATTAGGTAATGTAGTCTGACTACTTTTAGATTACTTTTAGATTACTTTTGACGTAGCTCGTTTGTCACATAGACTTCAATGTGATTATTGTGTACCATACTGATTAAAACACAACAAATAAAACAAAGAAAGAAAATAGATTTCATTCTGTTATCAATATCACGAAATCAATACATTTTGAATAATTTACTTCCATTGTGGGAATGTTATCATGTAATCCATAAAAAAGTTACTGTAATCTGATTATAAGCATTTTCAAAAGTAATGTAATCTAATTACAAGTACTTAATTTTCGGAATCTGATCATGTAATCCAGATTACATGTACTCCGTTACTACCCAGCACTGATTATGCTTTTACATTTCATTTTCCCATCATTGAAATTAATTTCTGTCATGTGATAAGAACGTTGTACTGTAATTTCCCCCAGACTCTATTTACACTGAGAGGTACATGCTGACGCCAGCGGAGAACCAGGCCTTTTATGGTGTAAGTTGTGCTTGGAAATTCTAAAATTGTTTGATAAACTCATTGGTTTCCCCATGATGACGTCACAGAGAAGCATGAGTCAGTTCTAAAATAACTCACGCAAGTGCTGCGTCACACGAGGTTTATGGGATGTTATTATTCTTATTCAGAATTCCACAGTGATGGAAAGAGCCAAGAACTTTAAATCAGTCCAGTACCTCCTGGTGCACGGCACCGCTGACGGTGAGATATGACCCGTCTCTCTATATCTCTGTCTCTTGTCCTGTCTCTGCAACTGAGCAAACTTAAATAAAACTTAAATAAATGGAAATGAAAGAAATTATTATGAAAATAAAAAAATTAGCTTAAAAAAAGAGTTAAAAAAGTGTTTTAATATTGTTCATTTTTATTAAATTATGTAAAATGCATAAATCTGATTCACTGAAATTTTGATATTCAGCTCTTATATATTTGTTTCTTTAAATATCCTAAAAATTTAATTTTTTTCAAGTCATTTTAGTTAATAAGTATTCAAAATATTTCCTAAAAACTGCAGAAATGTTTCCTTGATATTTTGAGTTTTAGATCAATAAAACTTTTTTAAAATTATTTTATTTAAATTTCATAAACATGTAAATATCTTTAAAATATCACCAATGACGTGACATTAAAGTGAAAACTCATCACATATTTTTTTTTCTTCTGTTTGTCATTGGTGCTGTTAGATAATGTTCACTTCCAACAAGCTGCTCAGATCTCTAAAGCACTCGTGGATGAACAAGTGGACTTTGATGCAATGGTAAGACAGCAGCAGAATTGCATTCTATTCATGCAAAGTTATTCTAATAAATTAACGAATATAGTAATACAAAAATATTTATATTATTACATGTTAATTGATCAAATATGAAAGTCTACATATATTAAGTAATAAAAAATGATGCCTACATTTATATCATAAATAAAAATATTATATATAAATTACTGAAAGTATTGCATACATATAAAAAGGTTTCTTAATTTGTGTTTTACATTTGTTTTATATATATATGCCTTTTTAAAATTGTCCTGCAGTATAGCAAATTCGTTTTTAAAAGTACACATTTAATTTAGTCTCTTAAAATCAATAACATTGTAAAACAATTAATAAACATTAATAAAAGAATTAGTATCATCAGAGTTTTTTGCATGTCAACAATCCATAAAACAGCTCCAAACAGTATTAAAATAGATATGTAAGTGTTTTTCACTGGTGATCTGTTCTGTCTCTCTGTCAGTGGTACACTGATGAAGACCACGGTCTCGGTGGATCGTCTAATCAGCACGTCTACACTCATATGAGTCACTTTCTGAAAAACTGCTTTGCTTGAACTTGTGAAACTTTCCACTGGACCAAATAAGCCCAGGACCCACAGCACTGAATCCACGTTACTTCCAGACCACTTGACGCACTCAAACGCGTCAGTCGTGTGTGATTCCCCATCAGCTGCCACTGAATCCACAAGAAACCCTTTAGCTACTGTACTGTGCTGCAATAACGGACTCGTTTTAGTCACGTTTATCAGTTTCAAATGTACAGTCTGAACAACTGAGTCATGAATATTTAGGACACCGAAAAAACATCGAAATACTTACTGGATAAACACAAAGCTTGATGAGCTAGCTAAAGAAAAATGAGAGTAATCTTTGTTTCCAAAAAAAAAAAAATGTATTTGAATTAAATACTCTCAGATTTAATTATTATTATTTATCATTAATAATAACTTATTTTAAGCTAGGGAGAGCAATATTGTGTATTTTCCAAATCAAGTTCATTGCCAGCTGTAACTTTTCATGTAAAGTACAAAAAGAAAATAATTAAAAAGAATATTCATGTTAATTTAATATTTTAATATTCTTAAATTCAAATATATTAAACTATAAAAATATTTTCACACTTTAAATATTTTTTATCAAGCTTAGTATCAAGTAATCTTATCTGAGTTTTTATTTGAGAAAATATTTATTGTATGTGCCATTACTTATAAAATATAACTTGTACAATATAGCAGAGATATTTTCAATCTGTAATAAAATGTTACAAAAATGTGCTCAATTGTTTGTGACTTATTTGCAAGTTTACACTTTACACATATTAAATAACATTTTCTTCAAGTCTAAGAAGTATGAAATATATTCAAAATTCATTCATTCTTACAAGCCAAGCCTCTTTTGTCTTTTACAAAAAATATATTAAAATATTTTTCTAGTTAAAGTAGTGATTTTATTGTTAACCTGATTTTATTAAAAAGCTCATTTATTAATAGCATTTTTAATACAATTACATTTTAAGTTTCAGTTTATTTTAAGTTTGTTATTAATGCACAACAAATTGTACTATTTTCAACAAAATAAATTAAAAACAACACATGTATAAATATTTGATATGCTAGTAGACAAAATCTGGGAATTTTTATATACTGTATGAAGAAACTTTGTCGACCACTTTTGTTTATACAATGTTGTCACTGACATATTAATACTGCATTAAAATGATTTGTGTTAATGAAAACACTGATTTTGATCAGTGCAAAGCATCTTGAGTTGGACATAAGAATTATGTGTGACTAAAAAAACACATGAAAAGTCCGTTTGTCACGTTCTCATGAACAGAGTATCCGTTTCCCCCTTTTGATTTTTGCCTACAGTAGCACTTCGCACGTAATTTTTCTCTGGGTTTATTTGCGAAAGCCTCCATCCTGCTGTCTCACACCTCCAGGATGGCTCTTATCTGGAGGTACTTTGGCACATCTCTCTCTTTACGCAAACACGAGCGGTTTCATCCAGAGTGGGTAATGGACTGATACTAATGCATCTGAACGCAAATGTACGTTTGTGTGTGTGGGCTGCCGAGATGGGACGGCCCACCTGGACGACTATATAAGACCCAGACGATTGAGAAGAGGCCACGAAACCAACAGGAGAAGAGCGAAGAGAAGATCCAAACACACTCAACTCTTCCATCAATTGGTAAGTTGAAGGAGCTCTTTGAGAGACTCAGTCTTGTAGATGTTCGGTTGGTTTCAAAAGTGTTTTTTTCTCTCATCTTTACAGAACGTGTGTCTTCAGAACTGAAAGAAGCTGTCAAAATGAAAGGCGTCCAATATCTCGCTGGTCTTCTTCTGCTCCTCTTTGTTCAACACAGCATCTGTGTCCCACTGCAAGATGACAGCACAAGGTTGGAGAAATAGCCTTTTATGGTGTTTTATGTCCTTTGTAGTCTGTTTCTGAGCAATAATTTATGATAAAAGCACTTGAAGTAATAAATTCCTAGTATGCAAGTGCTTAAACACGAAATCTTCACTTTATAGCTGTTTGAGGGCTTTTTGTTTGGAAATGTGGACATCGTTTTGTTCAGTTTATGTAATGTAACACTCATATATCATCTGGTTGTGCAGCACAGAGACAGTGGAAAGTCTTCTGGCGAGGGGTAAGGGATTCACGACCGCAAAGAGACATTCTGAGGGAACTTTCTCCAATGACTACAGCAAATACCTGGAGACCAGGAGAGCGCAAGACTTTGTTCAGTGGCTCATGAACTCAGAGAAAAACGGGTATGTACAATTACAGTATGAGATCATGTACAGATTTGTTAAAAAAAAAAAAAAAAGGTAAAAATTAACCAAGATTTGGTGTAAAAAATTTTTTTTAAAAATAATAATTTATAATTCAAATAAAAAAACACCCTTACTTTTTATAGAATGCATATAAAATGTATACGAATATACCATAAATATAAAATATATACTGTATATATTTTCTAAAATTAAAATATATATCCGAAAATATTTTTGTGTATGGAAACCTAAAATATGTTACAGAACATATTTTCACATTTATATAATTTATTTATTGATATAATATATACTGACATTATATATATATATATATATATATATAAACAATATGTATATGTTATGTATATATGTTTTTATTAATTTCTATATAATATTATAATATTAAAACAATATGTAACAATTACATCATTATATATACATACACATATTATTAAAAAATACAATATAGTTTGGAAAATAATGTATATAAAATCTTTAAATGTCGAAATGTGTATTTTTTTACTTTTTAGTTTTTTAAATGTATAAAAAAGAAAAAAAATACAATATTATATTTATACATTTTTATATAATATTACGAAAGCTATAATATAATACTATATACAGCAGGTATGTTATGTTTATTGTTTTTGTTTTATAATATTTTATTTATAATATAAAATAAAACAATATTGTGTAATTATGTAATAATATAAGAATTGTATGAAGAAGTTGAAAATAAAATTCTTATATTAGTTACATAATTGT